TAAACTTATGAAGTACGAGCCATATATAGCGGTCTAGTCAAAGAACCATAAATTGTATCATAGTCCAAAAACTTAACCAGTGATTTCCCAATAACAATTAAAATCCAACATAATGTTATAAACAATTGTAAACAAATACATGATACACGAACACCCAATATTGTAGTTAGGTACTGCCCTTTGATCGCATAAAATTTGCTCAGTGTATTGAAAACTGGACGATATTAGCTTTTAATTAAATAGAGATGAGTTAAGGCTAATAAGAATCGTATATAACCTGCTACTTGCAGAGTAATTATTGGAAAAGTAATTGCATTATGTTGTTTTAGTGAAACTTGTTATATAGTGAATCTATTCATGGATAATCATAATTCTATTTCCAGAGTAATGTGTGGTCTCTTCTTCATGTACTTACAAATAGACTACATATAGATACTTTTCAATGACAAAATAGTCCTTATTGTAGGGTAAAGATACCAAGACTCGAAACTGGTAGAGCTTTTCTCAGTATTATACGGGAGTAGGTAAGTCGTAATTTGTAGTTACCGAAAATAATATTATTAACCATACGTCGCGGAGAACCTAACGGGTTACCGCGGCTCCGGCTCGAAGTGCAGGAGTAGGAACGTGGTGGTTTTTAGTCAGTTGACACTCCCTCCCGCCTCACCCAGGCGGGAGCAGTCATTCGATGATTTTCCCCCCTTAAAAAACCATATATAAAAGAAATTCTTTTGTAACAATAGCAACCATGTAAATACCCTTAACACAACTATATCATTAAAGTATTCCTTATAGTTCCTTTATGATAAATAGTACCAGGGTTTTAAATAAAGCGGTTATAAGGCCCGTTTACAATATGTAAATACATAAAGTACTTTGCGGTCATCGACCCGCAAGCCCATCGTGGTTAAATGATGGCTCTAGTTAATAGTCATAAGGTATATGTATGAGCGGCCTTTTTCGGAAAAACCTTTAATAACAGAAGATAGTGACAAACTAACGAAAATGTTTGTTGATAATTAAACATGTATTATGTGCAGAGATGTTTACTTACTTTCATGTATAATTAGACTTATATTGATACATTTATATACTGTATGATAACTACCAAGATAGGTTTCCACATTAGCTACTTACCTAGTGGGTGTAAAAGCCACCTGAAAAAGTAGACATACAAATCTTGATCCAACGCAAAAAGGGCACGAGCTCACTGCAATACCAGATAACAATCTCAATCCGTAGTTCCCCGCAGTAATTAATAATTTAATTTTTATTAACTAATTGGTTTTGCTGACCTTACCAACCCTTATACGCAATCTCACATAACCGATTTAAATTGATTCCGTTATGCGGTCCGTCGAGTACTGATTACATAAAAAGTTGCCGTATTGCCGGTAGGGGCCTCTGTTCGTTTCATTTTCAACCTTTGAGTCAATTAAGCTTTGCCAATTTAAGAGTGCGCGTACTCTTACACCGACCACTAATGTATTATTCATATTGTGTTTTTGAGATAACAAGCAAGCTCTCAAGTCGATACACATCTAGTGAGCTGATTGGAAGTCGGCACCGCAGATGGCGGGAAAGCAGCGGCATCTCGGAAAGTACATTAAAATTACCCAGCGATGTTGGCATCGTTAGGACCTGCATATTATTCCACCTTTGCGGGGAATTTTAGACGATAATTCAGGGAATTAATTCTTCAGACGTCTCCGTGTAAGAATCGAGCCAATGGGAATTTAACCCTTTTTATTGCACAAAACGTTTTGCAATTAATCGCACTTGCGTGCCCGTCTTCAGAAGATCTTCGAAACTTAATAATGAGCTAGCTATTCGAGCAACAAATCACTATTATAAAATACTCTAACTAAACAACCATTCCGCATTAAATTGCGCTGCGAACCCTACAGCAGTGCTTTAATTACACTGTGTATTGATACAGTAATTCATGTGAGCTTTTATTTTAAACAATAATTCACAAGGTATAGATATAAAGGAGTGCGGCAGCCAATGTGTTATGCCGCGGTGTTTATGTACTTCGTAATCGGTCAGTTGATTCTGAGACCACCCAGGTGGGAGCTACGGTGCGTCCTCTACCCGTACCACCTACATACGCAAATGCGCACACATGCATCCGTATGTACAGTTAACATACTCTTCCACCTCCCCACCATTGCCATAACTTTTTTTGTATCAATTTTGTAATTTGCGTTTCGAGTTACCAATTTGAGTGATTATGTTTCGTCGAGCCCGTTGGCTGGGAATATGTAATAAGGAAATTCACTAAAATGAGCGGTCGCGATTATTTAAAATCGTTCGGATCGCGGGTAATGAGATGATAATGTATTAAAAAAGTGCATTGAACACGTTTTTGGGTTATGCATTCCATTATAGCGTCATGTTGTTCAGAAATGCGTGCAAGTTATAATAGAAAATGGAGGTATATGGGTATACATGCTGGGCGAACCATATTATAAAATAATTGAAAAATTACAGTGATAGGTTTATTTTTATTATAAAGATTTTTAAGTGGACAGCTATATTAAGATAATGGGCGCTTATATGCAAAACTGCTACAAAATATATACCTATAGGTATGCGTAACCCACACGCCCACTTTCCTGAGCTTTATAGTAATTTTAAACTAAAGGCACACTACAGTGTACCTATTATTAAAAACTAATATACCTACAATTATGCAATTAGACAGAAAGTAATAAAGTAAAAATTATATAGGTTCTGTTTATGCAATAGGGCCAGTGTCGTAGGCAAACCCAGTCTCGTCTCGACAAGTCCTAGACACATTTATTGACTTGTAGAACATGTTATGCGCAGTCGAACATACCATGTTATCTTAATTTGACTCATTAGACTTGGAGCGCAAATATCTACTTTACATAATTTTATCGAAGAAAATTGTGCGCGTGGGCATACTTGTCGACGTGATCCGTTTTAATGTCGTCCTTCCATTGAAATATGCTAAACAATGGTCCCGTTCCATCATGAACTCATTCTTCTTAGCTAATGCCATAAAATACCCTTTACAGTTATGTTCAGTGCTTAAAATAGTTAAAAGCTATTGTTTTTGTCATTAAAAACCGTTTACGATCCCACAAGTGTAAATAACCGCTTCCCGCGTTGTCAACCGCGCGCCACATGTTTGCCGGTATTGGAAAAAATACTCAAAAGCGACCCGATCTGCTATAACAACACTTGTAAATCACGCTGAAAAGTTTTACGAATTAGGAACAATTAAAACATCGAAGCAAACAACAGTTGTTTCGAATGTCCTCAGCAACTGCGGGACCATTGTGAGTTACGAGCGGTTTACAACCTTATAGATCTTAGTCCGAAATTCTTTACGACTAATATAACTTGCGCAATCCTTTTGTCGCCCGATGGGGAGAGGGGGGCAACTTGGACAAGTTTCTTTTGTTTGCGACACGTGTTGCAGAACGGGTTGTGCCCGACACTTGTAAGGAGGGAATCTTGGGAACGGTTACGAGTCGATTTCCTTGGAAGCGTTCATTGTCTTTTTTGCTTTTGAACTTGAATTTTTGGGAGTCAGTTTATATTGTAATTTTCTTTGGTTGTTTTTCAACGAAAAATGTTGCATTTTTAATACCCTGCGCCTTTCCGAACACAAATTCGTTTAACCTGTTTTTGAATCGGCCGCCCCGGGCCGCACTCGTATGCAATCAAGATTGGATTGAGATCACACAGTTATAGCTTTATTATTGTCGTTTGTACGTTCATTTCGTGCCTTCAATGTTGATTATTTTGCTTTAAAGCTCAAATTTCATTCCTCACTTGTATGGTTACCGGGCTTTAATTGGCAGTTTCGGGTAACGGTGCTTAAATATGCTGCGAAATGAGAAAAATCTGATGGTTCCGTTTTTTATTTATCTCGTGAGTACGAGCTCATAACCTTTGAAGTCCGCTAGTGCCACCCCGCGTTCCGGAACACGTAATGCGTCTGCGCAGATGATATTTTTCAGATTTGTGCATAACGGAAACGTGCCGTCATTATATACCTATTAAGGCTGGTGTGTGACACTATACTTATTTTTTGCTAGGCCGCAAACTCCGCCTTTTGCCTTAATGAAGCCATTTGTGTCATGTTTATTGCTTTTACGGCGTACTCCGGATTTTGAAGAGAATTTACAAGGCGAAAATTGACACTGAAATTATGGTAGCCCTAATTAGTTGGCACACGTGCGGTGCTGCTGATGTTTTCGTGTTTTTTATTTCAAGGGGGAATGTAAAACAACATAGATTTCCGCCGATTATGTCTTGTTTATTTACTTAAGTGACGTATTTATGGTCGTAAATAACAGCTTTTTGTAAGCTTTGTCAAGTGTTTGTTCATGGAATTATTTTTGTATGAATTATTGCGATTATTATGAAAGTACACAACCAAGTAAAGTACATACATGTGCTATATTGTAGACATTAAAACCCCATACCAATTACAAAATATATTTTAAATTGGAACTCCTTCGTATCACCACAGTGCCAGATAACGTCTGCAAATAACCTTCAACGTTTATATCAAGTCGTGACTTCCAAATTGACCTTCATTCGATGCATTGACGTGGGTGCTGTGTTGGAGAGAAAGTTCGGAATTAATATGCAAGCCTGATCTGTTTCGAGTAATGAGTCTTAATGCATTTGCTTATCAGAGCTCTGGCGCATACGTCATGATGAAGATTTTTTGGGCTAATCAATACAGTGAATTCTGATATGGGATTTATTCTTATTTGAATCGTGTTCTGAACTTTTAAACAAAGAAGATGTATTGGTTCCTAATTCCTTTTTTGCTGTAACCTCTTTGATAAAGATTTTAATGCGATATTTACTATCATTACATACATAAAAAGAAGGGTATTGAAAGCTCCCTATTCTACCCTCTAAACACCATGTTCTCTTAAAACAAGCTGCATAGCATAAATAAATAAAGATAAAGGAAATAAAGCTTAACAGCAGTATCGTTCTAAGCAATCATGTTGTGGTTAGGTAGCCACAGCAAAAGATGTTGAGATTACCTGCTTAGCAAATACTACACAGAATCTCTACTTACATCTTTTATTCTACAGATCGCTAGCCCATTGTGTTCAAGGAATTTTGCATTTAACTCGCCTCACCTTAGAACTTTACATAGGAAGCTTTATCCCTTTCACAAACAGCACACCGTGCTTAATATATTATAAACAGCAATAAATTCTACACTTATTTTCATTCATTTGCATGAAATTTTACTTCCATAATTCTTATTAAATGGTATTTTTTTTTTCTAATTAAAATCACAAACCCCTGTATTCCCATTCAATTGATTACAATCGTAGGAAATAAACATCAATTCACAGTTAATCCTGCAAATAACTCGTACATAAGGAATGGCCTCACATTTCACTTGGTACCCCCAGAAGGCTTTTACGGGTTAGGTAATTAGCGTCACTCAATTAACCACTATACAGCAGGCCGCAAGAATTTTTGTTAATTATTAAAAAGGTTGCACTTAACTTGGTGGGGGGAATTGAAGAAAAGAAAGGCATTACACAGAGAAATGCTACATTCCCAATAGTTAGAGTGCAGTACAAGTGCATTGTGTTTGCTGTAGTATATTGTTCTAGAATCTAAAGCTTACTCGTGAATTCATCAGACACAAGAATCGATTGCAATGTTTTTTTATTGTAACGCTAAATCTACTTGCCTAAGCAAAATAGCACTTGCTATCTTGCTATATTTGGTTGAAATTTTGTAATCCAAATTTTAAATAGACTACCTATTATATCTGTCATCGATCAATGCGTTTAATCGGACCAAGTTCCTTATTTTTACCCAGACTAGTGCTGTTCTGTAACTTCATAATATAACAGGATTATAGCTGCATTGGGTGATAAAACTCTATCAGTGATTTAAACAAATTAATAAACACGCTCAAATCCAATGGTTCTCCTTCTGGCTTATATCAACAATAGGCGTGTTTTCCTCACTTTCTCACGAATCCGATTAAACCATACTCCATAGAACTTAAAAGGATAGATAAGGCTGTATGAAAAGAGCCGCGTGGCCCTTACTTAGGCTCGGATCTCACTACTTGAGATAATTAAGCCATTAAATTGGTTCGCGCACCCTTTTATACTGTGAGAAGTATGGGCAGAGATCTTGGTTTTATTTTGGATGTACTCAGAATCGAAGGCAATGTGCTTGTTCAAGTGCTTTATCGGTCATGTTGCTTGGTTATGACATGTATTTTGTCTTATTGATGTATAGGTCTTTGCTTTTGATTCGATTGTATGTCGGTGGAAGATGTTATAAGGTAGTTCGGTTATATAATAATAAAATATGCCCAAATTCTTCGTCTGAGATTTATGAATAAAATGGCGAGAGCCAATTTTTCATTTCCAAAAAATCTTACTCAACTTCACCTTGGATATTTTGAAGTAAAAGGTCAAAATTAATGTAAATTTTTTACCCAGTTTCGACATAAAACCTTGCGAAGACCTTTAATAAAATTGTATCGACATCATTTCGTCGATCGGGTATCGTCACCGATCACTGTAAACGATATTTTGTTGAGAAATGATAACATCAACTAGGTCGGCCGTAAATATTTAAAGGTAATCTCAAATTAAATTCAGGAACATTCTGATTGGTCTTAATCTGATATATAATATACCTACTGAGAAAGTTGGACACCAAAAAAGAAAAATAAGGCGATCGCAGCGTGCGTTCGGCCCTATACATAATGTTGAAGAGCACGCAACGAACGGCATGCAATGAAAGCCTTCGAATAACCGCCACGACAGGGCTGGCATTTTAATATTAATGTATATTTGTAATAAATCGAGATGTTATTAATATTTCTAGTTTCTGCTTACGTTAAACTCGGATTATGTGGAATGGCAATACTTCAAACTGAGGAGTATGAAAAATATCATGAATTTCATTGGAAATTTATTATCACAATAAATCTATTTAAATTGTTTACTTTACTATAATCGATATTATCTGATGTAAACTTATTCAAGATCTATTTGAAGAGAATCTTTTAAGCAAATTAAATTGAATGCACTATTGAAATGTCGTCAACGAGCCAAAGTTTATCCTCTAAAGTTAGTTGAGCAGCCCTGAAATCAGTCGAATTTTCGCAAGTCACGGCTATTGGCCTTTTATTCAGTTATCCTGTCGCGAATCGAGTTTTCGGTACGCAGTTGTAAGACATTCCGTTTCGCTGCGATTGAAGCTCGATATTGATTTACAATGCTGTATTTACAATTTATAAACCCTACTGAATTAAACCTAGAACACGGAAAATTCTCTCAATATGTTATCGAATATCCTGTTTATATTTATGTAGGTACATCTGCATTTATATTGCTTCTGAAACTCAACAATTTTGCATCTTCGCCCACACGTGTTTATGTTTCTTAATCAAGTTTGCAACCAGTCTTAATTCCCAGTCGGTGGCTTTCAAAGGCTGCCCCTGCGCATATATCAATATCGACGTTTAAACGAAATGAAGCTGTCGTCACCGCCAATTGTAACGTCATTTGAACTAAGCTGCGTGAGACAACCAATCCCATTCAACATTCAAACGCTTTACTGAAAGCAGATCCGCCGGTTCAATGCACAAACTTTTTTTGAAACTACGATTACTTTTAAGGCTTGTGATTTCAATTATTGTTGATCATTAATCCAACTTCTTTCTTTTTTGTTACAGGAGCAAATGGCCTCAGAAGACGAGGAAGACAAACGTACACTAGATATCAAACACTAGAGTTAGAGAAAGAGTTCCACACGAATCACTACCTCACACGGAGGAGACGCATAGAAATGGCGCACGCTCTCTGTTTGACGGAGCGACAAATCAAAATATGGTTCCAGAATCGAAGGATGAAGTTAAAGAAAGAGATTCAAGCTATAAAGGAGTTGAATGAACAAGAAAAACAGGCGCAAGCACAGAAAGCAGCGGCGGCAGCGGCAGCGGCCGCGGCTGCCGCGCAAGGCCATCCCGAACACTAAGCATGCGTGCGCGCATAGCCTTGTCCAGTGATACTATCGCAGTCCGCCGAACACTCCATAGCTTTGTGTTTTTTTTTTTTTAAATTGTTTGTAATTATTTTCTCGTTATTTAAGTGTTGTTCGGTTGTTGTGATTATTTTTTAAATTAATTTTTAACTAGACACAATGTTTTTCTAAACGAAGGATGGAACAATAAACTGTTGAATGCTAGACTAGAAACGGGTCGTATTATTTTTGTGTTTCGGGTTTTGTTTTTGTTGATTTATTGATTTTTATATACATTTATATTTTAATTCGCGTAATCGTCGAAGATGTTCGCGTTTGGAAACCAGTGCAATTTGTAGAAATCTCTTCCGTGTAACATAGTGTAGGTGTATCGTAGTGCGTTTTACTTTATGTGCGATCGTAGCGCTCCCTGCTCGGCAGCGTCGGCGTCACGAACTATATAACATTGTACAAATTTAATATGCCTACCAAAGAGACCCGGTCTCGTACCCTTAAAGCTAAGTAAATAAAGAGTCGTAAGTTAAATTAATTATCCGCTATCGTAATATGGACAGTGTGAACAGAATAACTTTCCGCGCCATCTAATCCTTCAATACTCTCGCATAAGTATAGTGTAAACGTGATCGTGTTCCTGCAGTTTTAATAGTCGGTGAAGTTAAACAAATTGCCATAAATATAAGTAGTTATTATTTAGCCAGTAGTGGTGTAAATAGTTAGGGTAACGTCTGTAATGATGGAAGTGAGCGGTTCGCGATGCGCCGGCGCCGTGGAATGGGCAGAAAAAGCTTACGGGCGAGTGCGGTGCGAGGGTGCGGGGTGAGCGGGCGAGCGGGGCAGCTGCGGGGCAAGCGCGGGGAGCGCGCGCCGCCGGCCACCGAACAGGACTAGGTGAGTTTTTGTCAAAGTCACCGCCATTATTTATCGAGTGGAGACGGTCGCGAAAAACTTACTCGCCGTCACCAGTCGACGCGCGATGCCATTTTTGAAGTCGCCCAAGCGCGACTTCTACGGTATAGCTGTTTTGCAATGTTTTAATTTACTAAGTCCGTTGCACCTTTTGATGTTCCCGACTGTCTCCACGCCGAGCATGTAGAATGTCGTAATAACACCCGCTTTAAGTATACCCATGACCGATCGAAACAATTAAAGATAATTTACTCGTCCCTGTAATGAATTTAATGGCGTCCTACATGTTGACCGATTGTTAACTACCGCTTCCCGTCATAATTAACACTAACAGAATGACTACCGCAATATACAATAATTAGGTGTCAAAAAAATGAATATTATAAACCCTATCTTGGGGTGTCGAGGTCTTAATATTTCGTAAGCATGCATAATGACTTCATTGGGTTTACCGACGGACGGAGAGCGGTGGGAACTATTAATTAAATTGACCATAGTCCGTTTCATCTCGGACGCCCAATATGGCGACTGAAGAGTCAAGCGTACGCTAAAAACTGAATTCCAAGACTCGCTCCACGTACAGTCTGCAAAAGAAAAACCCACGAATATCTTTCTACCTATTTGGATGTGCTATTCATGTAGAAAAATGTTGAATAGCATTATACGTACGTGTCAACTTGTTAAATCAGGATTTTAATCTCATTTCTTAAGAGTTGTAGTAAGTAAAAACTAGATCACGTAGGTACTAAGTTGCACTTTAAGCTCCCTACGATGTGGTGAAAGATTATAAGGAATTTTACAAAGTAACAACTTTGTCGTTGCGTGTTTGTATTATATAAAGAGGTGAAGTTGTGTGGAGGTATTTGTCGCAAAAACTTCAGGAATTAATCTTTATAGGTTTCAAGCATTATTCTCGTTTGTGCTGAACAATGGAAACGAGTATAAATCATGATTCTAAAAGTCTATCCACAAAGTAAATTGTTTTTCTTCAATACATTATGTTGCTATCGTTGCTCAGGTCGGCCATGTTTGCGGTCCTCGACCTGGCCTGCCAAATCGTCGATAACAGATAATTATTTAGCCGATACGAAAAATTATTGGACATCGACGTATCGCGGCCCGAATTTTGAACATCTCAATTTTAGTGGAGCATACCGGTCGGACTTTTGTTTGATAATATAATAACTTGTTTTACAACATACTTTATTCAAAAATTAGGTAATGTGCGCTTTAATGTGGATCTTCATCGTGTATGTGTAGTTTTCTGGACACTGTAGTTTTTTTTCAACTAACTGGTATGTAAGTACGAGTAGTTTTTCTCATCCTTCGTGTAGCTCGGAGCAAAATAGGAGTTGTTTCGACAAGCTCAATAGCAGTGCACGTTTTCAATTAAGAGTAATGGCTACTTGAATGCAATGTTTCTCACTTAATTAAAACATACCTTGGTAAATTATTAAACTTCATAAATGGCAGATGTTTCGATAAAAACTGAATGTATTTGTCGATAATTCGCCCATTTCAGTACATGGGCATGCCTCCTCTTTCCTTAACGAAGTCATGTTTATTTTTTCTAAGCGTTTACTTAAGTATTATATGCAAGTTTTTAGTCTTTTGCGGGCCGTAAGTCATTTTAATCAGTCGATAACTCGTCAAGTCGTTTTTGTTGGATGTTAAATCAGCCGACTGCCCTTTTTGTGTCCCGCCCGCCATTGAATTATAGAGTACTGGTATTTATATTTTCAAGATACTTACCTGTTATTTTGAAATCCAACTAGAAGCTAGACAAAGAAGTAAGTTAGTAGGTATATAAGTATTATAATAAGTTATAATATTTGCCTATATATTTTGATACTACTCTTGCATATACATAAGTACAAACGGTGTTCTGAAAGAAGAATAGATATAGTAGTCAGCATTTATTATAATTTTTACCTAGTGCACACCTACTTTCGACTTTTAGTTACATATTTAAAGCTCATTTTAAAATACCTTTACTATATGGAAAAGCCCAGAATGACTGAAACAACACACGTTAATTATTGAATACCTTCTTATGAGTAATTACAATATATGGGCAGGTTTATACAAAAAAAGTAATTGTAATTTATTCATTGAAGGTACTTTATTAAAATATTGCAAATTTTATGGACTCATTCGTCAGGCAAAGGTTGTTGGGTGGCTTCTTATACAAATACCATACATACTGGTAGGTACCTGCCTACTTTTACAAGGTACAAAAACTTATTATATATACAATATACACACCTATATATTCGAGTATATAATATGAAGACAGATGGTATAGTCTACCTACAATGGTCTTTGTTCTACCTTTATGTAATAAATAGAAATATTTGTACAAATATGGTTCTTATAGCATCATTGTTAAGGTATTGTCTTGTTTATATTACTTATTTTGTAGTAAACTTATAGAGATTTGTTTTTAAAATTATATATGTTAGGTTTATTGAATGCAAATACTGAAATGTTGTATACGATTTTGTGATGTACTTAATATGTAGGTAGGGTAAGTAAATAATTGTAATACTATTTTTATTTCAATAAATTAATTTAAAATTTAATACTCTGCTTACTTTTTTATTCTTATTACACCATCCTGCATCTCTATTAGTTATTTGCTTGGCTTGGCAAATTGAAAAGAGTAATTTTTAGAGATCCACCTTCTTCAGGCACAAATGTACACTCCTCTGGTGTTTCGGCTGTCCACGAGTGGCGCTGATGGCTTACTATCAAGATGCTAGTTTACTCCGGGCATCTACTTATCTTATAAAAAACATACTTATGAGTAAGTGACTTCAAGTTACTGGAACTTTATACATAAAGTTTTGAAATAGCGAACGAATTCTTTTTTTCTATCTGCTAATAAAGAAAGGTACCTAATTGTAGAGTTACTAAGGTGTCTTTGTTTATTTGGTTTCCTTAAATGTCGCGTCAAACACACAGATATACGAACAAACCTATATGTAAGTATATTAGGTGCCTAGAAGTGAGGGCTGTCGGCTGAAGAAAGAATAGTGTCGTCAGCTATTTTTAAGGTTGTGGCACAATGTTGGTTCTCTCTAGTATACTTAAATAAAAAACAGGGATTCCTAATTGAGATAAATAATAAAAGATATAAACTAACAACTACTACAATCACATCTAATGGAATTATAAGTTAAATTTCTGTCTAGAAAATAATAATTCATTAAAAAATAATCCCATACTTCTTAATTATATGCTTTGATAGGTCCTGTAATAATAAAATTAAAGATAAAATTCCGTCTTACGCAGTCGTTTAAAATTATCTAATGAAATCCCATTTTCGAAAGCCTGACACGATTCCAAAAATCAACACACACTTTTTTCAAATTCTCTTAATAACAAAACCAACTTGTTGAAGCCACGTTCAACCCTATCCTAGGGAAGGTTCGTGATTCGATAGTATCGTTCACCCGACCTGGCCTGTCCTCTACACGACTCCTTTAACTGTGCGACTAACCTCACTGTTTCGTTCCCGGGAACATACCTGTACCTACCCAATATAGACTTTGTGGAGGAGTTGAGTTAGATTTGCATGGGTTGGTATTGGCTAGTTGGGGTTTTTATTGCGTTAAGTCTAAAGATTACTTAATGAATTTGATAAGAAAATTGATCCTCTTTATGAATAAACATCAAACTGAAAAACCAGTGTTGTAGGTTGTTGTACCTTTTTATGCTAACAACATAGTACATTGTGAGAATGTCTATAGAATACTCTCTGCAACTTAAACCCTTAATTAAGCTAACTAAACACCATGCTAGTATTTCGAGGATCCTCCATCCCATGTCTCAGCCCTAAGCCATCTAAGACACGCAGCCGTATGCTCAGACAATAACATGTATGTCCACATGTATCTGCGATAATCTCCGCTACATACAATAAACCCCACCCGTTAATCGAGTTAACCCCTATAAAATAACGAGACCAATTCAAAATTTACGACATATACGAAATGTTCGCTTACCACAACAGTTATTAATCGCTGCGGATATAGCTATAAAGTTAGGAACACACTAGACGCAATAAACATGCCGCTATCTGTACC